ACGGAATGCATATTCTGGCCTCGTAATGGGGCACATGCATAATTTTTGTCGAGAAGGTTGGGGTTTATCCAGCTTCAGTGGAGCTAAACCAAACACATTTTTTTTCGGCCGAGAAAATCAAAACATCCGAGTTCTGCTGGAACGCTCACAATACACAAAAAATTGTTCCAGATGATCGAAACACAAAATTTTTTGTTCGAAAAGAAATAAAATCGAAAAGAAAATTTCAATTTTTCCAACTCTAAGCACAAATCTTCTCAACTTTTTCATGAAAAAAGCATAATAAAAAATAATGGACGCCTCTTCAAAATATAATTAAAATTTTGAAAAGTCAACTTGTTCGAGTTCAAAAAAAACATCATAGGGAAAATATCTTGATTGAATTGATAGGAACAAAATATTTAAACAGCTTTTATAGGCTTCCGAGATTAGCGTGTTTGCTGTGGTATCCAATAAAGACCAAAAAGAAAGCCTCATATTGCAAATCAGATTATATATCGGATCTTGTTAACTATTTCCCCCCTGTGGTACCTTGTAACCAATCTCCCCCAATAAAGAAAGAATTGAACAATTAAGGAAATACGAATTTATTACCTTGTAACGAATCCCCACTCCCGCTATTGGAATGAGGGGGGTGAAATTTTAAAATTTCCTTTATATATATATGTCGTAAAGCACGCGCTTCACGCTTCGGACGAGGCGCTCCCAGGAGCCGCCATGATGGGGTGCGCCTGGCGGGTTAATTTTCCAAGCATCACCTTTGTGTGCAAAAATGGTCGGAGCCATGCCATTCCAGCTCTTGATGCAGGCAATTAATTCATTTTCCGCACCAACGAAGTTCGTGCCGTTATCCGACCAGATCGTGCTTGGTGTACAGCAACAGCTGTTTGACGCATGTTAGCTGGTAAATTTTGAGTATGATCAGAAATAGATTTTTTGGAAATTTTTTTCTACCTTGATTCGGTCATTTTGTCAGAGTTTTTCTCTACGATCGAAATTAAACAAGTTCAAAATCCTGTATAAGGACAACTCCTTGAATGTTCTGACTGCTTCTGAAATACAATGTTCCGTATTCACTTTATATGCCATTAAAATGTCGTTGCTGACAAAATTATCCAATGAAATACAATAAGTATATGTAATGGTTAATTTATATCATGATTAACAGTCGTTTGGCGCAACCGGGACAACTGGGAAAAAATGACTGATTAAGGAAAAAGGTCAAGGGTAAAAGCTGGGAAAATTGACCATAGTTTCATATGCTTCTCAAAAGTTTCCCAATTTATTTGTAGGAGTATAAACCTGAGACAAAGCTCGTCAAAAGTGACATTTGATTGCACATTTTCAAATATGCGACAACTTGCACCAGGCAAAAAATCGGAATTTTTGTGTTTCCAGTCCCCCAAAAAAGCTAACGTCGATTTTTATCTCGATTGAAGCTTGCCAAATCAGCTCCCTCTAAGCCCGCGCCTAAGTAAAAGTATTCGAATAATAAAGAAAGCAATACAAAAAGTATCGTTGAAGCAATGACATTCATATTATTCTAAAACAGCTGCAATAATGTGCAGTTCAATTGGGAACAGATTGTGATAATATTAAGATGAAAGTTAAACAGTCTAGCTCTCTGAGCAAATTCAGCTTTTATTGCTAAATCCAATTTACGATTATTTTAACCGACCGACTCTTTTTCATCAAATATTGAGTTTTGAGGAATTCGGGCTAAGTTTCAAGAGCAATGTTTGGTTCAAAAGCGATGATTTTTCTTCTGCCCTGTCATGGATAAAACAAAAACTGTTTAAAAATAGCCGATGTTCCATATAATAAACAAGGCCGTGAAAATATAGCGAGAAACGACGTCAATGTCTCGTCCTTAGGCTGTAAAAGCTTCCAGACTTCTGGCAGCTATGCCTTTCTTCTGATTTTGACGTCTATTATTTTTTAATACAGCGCCCGTGGCGTCTTCGGGGTCGGTATTACTGATTTTAATGTGCACGCGGGTTCTCTCTTTGAGTATATGGGGTTCGTCTCCATTGTATGAGACGATGGTGATTTCGATGATAGTACAGACAGTGAAGAAGAAATTGACGATTAAGTAGACGTCTATGATTTTGAGGTCACTTCCAGAAGGGATTTTGAGGTCACTTTCAAAAAATACAGGTAGATCTGAAAAACAATCTCTTCCCACTGCTCGATTGTTCAAGAATCTCCAGCCCTTAAATTAAACTAGCGTTTTTCTCCGCAAATTTGGAATAAGTCAGTTTTTGTTCATAGATGTTCATTCATATTTCATGAATGCAACAGCTGTTTGATTTGGAGTTTTCTAGCGTACATAAACTCATCGCAAAAGTACTGAATAATTGAAAATGCGGGGGAAAATTAAGAATTCCGAAGAGCAACAATGCCAAAATCATCAATTTTTGACACTGATAAACAATTTTTCAATTTCGGCACTGTTGTACTTCAGCCCTAATGTACTGCGTCAAAACGAGGATTCAATTAGAAATTACGAAACCGTAAACAGTTCTTATTCGATCAGTGCTTTGTACAGAAAACCGAACAAAAAACAAAATAGACAGTATGTATCATGAATCATCTCCATGTGGCCTGGCGGTGAGCGTCATTTGCGTATATCTTTGTTCCACGGCTTTAACTGCTAAATATTTTCATCAGCTTTTTGTGCTTCGGCTCTGGCAAGCTCAAAACATGAATCATCACGACTGCTTTTTTGGCTTTTTTGACCCAATGAACTTTATATTTTTGCCCTGAGTTCATTAGCTTTCTATAGTCAAGCATGGTTTTGCTTTTTGCTCAGCTATTTAATTTTTGTTCCCGATTTTCGAAAACCCGGTTCTGATTGGCTGATTTTCATTTTCCTTCCGTAAAAATTTTCAGCCCTATAACTTTTAAATAAATTTATTTATCGGTGCGTATTTATAGTTCCCAAAAGGAAAAATCAGCCTCATAGCTCCCAAAATAAACAAAACAGTTGGATAAGTGCCAAATTTTTTTTAAAAAGTCGAAAAGCAATTTAGCCGAGTCTCGTTTAAGGGTAGCCGGCAAAGGCGATAAAGGGCTCTAAAATTATTTTAGAGTGCTACCCTCTGTTGGCAAGCTTGCAACACGATGGCGCACCTGCGGCGGTCACTAATGTGCAGCTTAGGTTTATGCTGTTTGATCAGTAAAGAATCAATCCATAAATTCGTTGGCTCAAATTTCAACCAAATCACGACTGAAAAGTTTTTTAAATGACTTATCTTTCATCCCTTTGTGATAACTATTTGTGGTACCCGTTTTCAAGTGTTGAAACAAAAACGCGATCAAATTCTAGGCTCTAGTAACTTTGTAAAAACTATTGAAAAAAGTGCTCTAGTTGATGAAACTTCTAGTTTGCTTTCAGAAGTGGTTTCACAGCAAACAACGTATCTTGTTAAGTATCCCCCCCCCTATCGTATCTCGTAACGAAACAATCGAACAGTTAAGCATATACGAATTTTGTAGCTTGTCAACTATTTCCATTTTACGGATTTTGCTTTCAGTTGCGGATTCCGCAACAGCTCAAATTAACTATACACATCTTATTGTGTGATTGTGGATTCCACAAACTGTTCAGTAATCCGCAAATACTGTTGCGGATTCCTTCCGCAAATTGGCCTATTTTTGGAGCAATTTTGAGCGCTACTATCTTTTAGGTGTTTGTTTGTGGAATCCAAAACAGCGAAGAAGATTAAAAATGAAGCAATGTTGCGGATTCCGCGACAAATCGGATTTCGGGCTGTTACGGAATCAGCTTACAATGCACAGAATGCATATTTTGGCCTCGTAATGGGGGACATGCACGATTTTCGTCGAGAAAGTCTGGGTTGGTCCAGCTTCAGTGGAGCTAAATCGAACACATTTTTTTTCAGCCGAGAAAAATAGAAATGCCAAGTTCTGTTGAACGCTCACAAAACACAAAAAGTTGCTCCAGATGATCGAAACACAAAAAAAAGTTTTTGTTGGAAAATAATTAAAAATGAAGTGAAATTTCGATTTTTCAAACTCTAAGCACACAGGTCTTCTCAACATTTTCATGAAAAAAGCATAATAAAAAAATTATGGACACCTCTTCAAAATATAATTAAAAATTTGAAAAGTTCCGTTTTCACTTTTTACGCCACTAAAATGTCGTTGCTGACAAAATCATCCAATGAAAGACAAAAAGTATTTGTCATGATTAATTTATATCATGATTAACAGTCAGTCGTTTGGCGGAACCGGGACAGCTGGAAAAAAAAAGACTTGATTAAAGAAAAAGGTCAACAGAAAAAGCTCAAAAAAGTGACCATAGTTTCAAAACAATCTCAAATTTTACCCAATTTATTTGCAAGAGTACAAACGTGAGACGAAGCTTGTCGAAAGTAGCGTTGCAACAAATGTTCAAATCAAGAGTTCGAACGTTTGACACGAACATTCGAACGTTCATTCGAATGTTGAACTTCCCAAAATTTCTGAGAGGTAAATTTTTTTCCACAAAAAACTGGAACCTTCGCAAAAAAAATAATAAAATATTCAATTTCGGGTCACGTAGTTAACAAATCTTAATTATCACACATGGTTAGCAGCAGCCATAATTCACTTTAATCATTTTGAAATGAATCAAATAAAAGCCGATGCGATTTTGATCCTTATTCAACCAATTACAGAGCAGCATGACAACTTTGTTCTAGATAATAATCTATATTCGAATGATAAAATTAGCATTCGAACGTCAATCTCGCGAATGAACGTTCGAACGTTCAAACTATTGTTGCAACACTAGTCGAAAGTGACATTTGGTTGCACTTTTTCAAATAAGCGACAACTTGCACCAGGCAAAAAATCGGATTTTTTTGTGTTTCTAGTTCCCCCATAAAGCTAACGTCGATTCGCATCTCGATTGAAGCTTACCAAATCAGCTCCCTCTAAGCCCGCGCCTAAGTAAAAGTATTCGAATAATAAAGAAAGCGATACAAAAAATATCGTTGAAGCAATGACATTCATATTAATCTAAAACAGCTGCAGTTCAATTGGGAACAGATTGTGATAATATTAAGATGAAAGTTAAACTGTCTAGCTTTCTGAGCAAATTCAGTTTTTATTGCTGAATCCCATTTCAGATTATTTTAACCGATCGACTCGTTTTCATCGAATATCGAATTTTCAGGAATTCGGGCTAAGTTTCAAGACCAATGTAGGGCTCAAAAGCGATGATTTTTCTTCTGTTCTGTCATGGATAAAGCAAAGACTGTTATAAAATAGCCGATGTTCCATATAATAAACAAGGCCGTGAAGATATAGCGAGAAACGACGTCAATGTCTCGTCCTTGGGCTGTAAAAGCTTCCAGACTTCTGGCAGCTATACCTTTCTTCTGACTTTGACGTCTATTACTATTTAATGCAGTGCCTGTGGCTTCTTCGGGGTCGGCATTACTGAGTTTAATGTGCATGCGGGTTCTCTGTTTGAGTAGTTGTGGTTCGGCTCCCTTGTATGAGACGATGGTGAATTCGATGATAGTACAGACAGTGAAGAAGAAATTGACGATTAAGTAGACGTCTATGATTTTGAGGTCACTTCCAGAAGGGAACGAATAGGAGACTCCTGTCATCAGGGTTATTTGAGCTAGAACAACAAAATTATATTGATGAAATGCGTTGATATACATTTTGAGATATCCATTTTTGGCGAACGGACCCTAAAATTGTTCTAATGGCGCCTTCGGCGCCAAAATATACTAATTTTGAGGGGGTGGCGAACGCCTTTTTTTGGTCTGTTTTATCAAAAGTTTGCCTGTAGGGTGTTTTTATAGTGATTTGGGAGAGCTCAGAAAATCAATCTGGGCGACCTGAAAAACGGTCGACAATATTTTCGAAATTGTTTGAAAATCCGCCCCCCCCCCTCCCTCGAGAATATAACGAAAAAACCACAATTTGAGCCAGGGGCGGATCTAGGATTTTCTCGAGGGGGGGGGGCGGATTTTCAAAAAATTTTCCAAAATTTTGACGACCTTTTTTTTTTTTTAGGTCGACCAAATTGACTTTCGAGCTCTCCCAAAGCACTGTTTTGCCCCTATTTTGGCAAAATTTTCTGCGCCGCAGGCAAATTTTTGAAAAAAAACGGTCAAAAAAGCCGTTTTTGGGCACTTTTTGAAAAATTTTGACAAAAAAATCGCGTTTTTTTTGGCGCGCGGTCCCCCTCAAAGTTAGTATATATTGGCGCCGAAGGCGCCTTTAGAAAATTTTTAGGGTCGGTCGGCCAAAAATGGATTTCTGAAAAAGTATCAAAGGGGGGACCCTTTGGGTCGGTAGGGGGTCGAATCCCTGACGCCCCCCCCCCCCTCAGGGATCAAAGGGGGGACCCTTTGGGTCGGCAGGGGGTCGAATCCCTGAGGGGGGGGGGGGGGCGTCCGCATGTCGAATCCTATTCAAAATCTCTTAAATGCTGCAGCGCAAAATTTGTTGGCAAAAAGTATTTTATAAGGTATTTTGGAAAGTGTTTAGAAGGGCTTGGTAACCCAAATACGGCAATCTAAAAAACAATCGACAATTATCAAGAGGAGGAGGATTTAAAAAAAACACGAAAATGTTGTCGACCTTTATTCTAAGGTCGAATCAATTGATTTTCCGAGTTTTCCCGAAATACTGTAGAAACCCTACTCTAAAAAACTTCTGAAAAAAAGCAGACCAAAAATGTAATTTCTCAAAGCTTTGACCAAAAAGTTGTCGTTTTTCAAGACCCCCTCCTCAAAATTACTAGAAATTGGTCGCTTAGAAAAACCTTAGGGCAGGTTGGCCGAAAATGGATGTTGTAAAGTAAAACCAAAAGGGGAACGTATGCATCAAGAAGAGGAGTGGGATCCCTGAGTTTGGAGGTAGAAATGCACCCCCCCTCCCCCACGCTCCCCCTAAATCCCTCCCTGCTCACACATATCACGCGAATTCAATCGTCTTAAATTTTCTTCACAGTAGCCAATTTCGATTGAAATTTAGGTAGAGCTTAAACAGGAATAGCCAACCTTAAATGGACCTAACCTAGTATGGATGTGATGGAGAGACTGGCCCTGGCGGGGACTGCCCTCTTGTCCAGCCAGAAGTTGAGGAAGGATAGACCGGTGAGGATGAAGGAGGGACAGTACATCACTATGAAGTACTCGGTCAACTTCCGCTTGAACCTACACTCCGCAAACAGAACAACAAATGACATCACTAAACACCAATCAGTTACCTCATGCAGATGTGAACCAATCAGGAAAGCGGAGAAAATTTCAGATACGCACAGATGGACAATGTTCAAGAATTAGATGGCTTGGGAAAGTTTTTATAAAAAACAGAACACAGCTTATGAATTCAGAAACTGTTCTTGGATTTTTGTTGGCTTTGGTTGCAGACATTGAGCTCGGTTTATTGTAAATATAGTTATTTATGAGGATAGAAGTCAATAATCTCATTCTTGACCGCCCAAAACAGTTTTCATCAACTACAAGGCCAGATAGTCACAAACTTTTGTATGTTTTTTTTTGAAACAGATCGCAATTATGTTATCAGTTAAAAGTGCAAATTAATATCAAATGGTTCAGATAAAATTTTTATTTTCTTGAAGTTTTAGGTAAAGACTCGTGACTCACTTGATGTGTGCGCATAGGTTTATGTATGTGTGTCCAAGTGACTGGTAGTAGGAGGTCTTTGCTTCCACGTTGTTCTCCACGTAGAAGTGGGGAGTGGACAGTTCCGAGGACATGTTGATCGGATCCCAGAACCATGACAGACTCTGCTCTTCCACCGGGTACTTGTACTACACACGTGCAGTCACAACAAACAAATAAAAACAACCTCAAAAAGACTTGAAGTGAGCCCAAAGTTTAAAAATGCGCTCACTTTTAACAGAATTACGATTAAAAAGAGTGTTAAGTTCGATTAGTTTTACAAAAAGCCGTTGAACTCTTTGAGCCCTCTTTTCAGGATTCGTGGATCTTGGATTTTCACAAGGATTCAGCGATATTTTCCAAGGTTAAGATATGGGAACTTGTGAGTTTCCTCAAAAAGAGTGTAGTCTTTCAAAGTTTAGACAGTTTGTAGAAAACCGGACAAAAATATTTCCATTTCCCCCTGGCAATTTCCCCCCCTCAAAATTATGTAAGATCGGCTTCAATTGCGCATTACAAAATATTTTGGATTCGGTCGTCCTTTTTCGATGTCGTAAATAAGTACCATATAGACCCACTGGATAGCGAGGGAGCCGGGCCTCCGCTAGCGTGTCCAAATTTTGACATCCAGATTAAACTCACGTGACTAATGCAGATTGGACACTCCTGCTGGTCCAGAGGGAAGTATGTCATCCTTAGACTACACCTGGTCTGCACAATCAGTCGCATAGAGTAGAGAAAGTTCCCATCCTTGTCCACCTGCAGTTGCAATGAGTCATCGGCCTCTATGATTGGCCTCTTCAGCTCAACGGCGTCTGGAAAGTAGAGATCTGGCTTCCATATTTGGTTGTAGTAGTCACCAGCTAAGAACACGCTGTCTTGTAGGACTCGTTTGAACTGATGGCTTTTGTCTCGCTTAGCACGTCGCGAGGTGTTTGTAAGGTTAGCATGGAGAACTAAATGAGAAACATCAGATCTTTTTAATTGCATTCTGTTATCTGGCGTTTTTCCTGATGTTTTTAAACAAGGAGTCATCAGACCACTTCTAAAACATGGCTTAAACCAAGAAACTATGTCAAGTTATCGCCCGATTACTAATTTGTCAGCGTTGTCAAAAATTACTGAAAAGCTTGTACTTTCACAGATGAGTGAACATTTAACCTCAAATCGGCTTTGGCCTCAATTTCAGTCGGCTTACCGTAAAGGTTATTCAACAGAGAGTGGTCTCTTGCTCTGTTCTCATTATATATATTGTAAAATTGATTCGGAAAAGTGTTTTTACGATGTTCAAATGGATTTTTCTGCTGCGTTTGATACAATTGACCATTCATTGTTATTAAAGATTCTTGAAAACAAAATTGGTATTGCGCACACAGTTAAACAATTCTTTGAAACTTATCTTAGTAACCGCTTTGTACAAGTTTTGGTAAATAGTAGTCTGTCAGACAAAATTCAGGTCGAAACTGGAGTCCCACAAGGCTCTGTTTTGGGGCCGATTTTATTCATCCTTTATTTACAACCTATTCTTGATTACCTTATTGATAGCAACATTGCGTACCACTTTTATGCCGATGATTCTCAACTGTTTTTGGAGATTAATCTCATGCAAAATAACCACAAACTAGAAAACATTGAAAAATTATGCTCCCAATTGCACTTAAGTCTTAATAAAAACGATGGAAAAACAGAAGTAGTGTTTTTCGGTAGACAACTGCATCACGATTATTTAAAGCCAGTGAAAATTTTTAATAAAGAAGAGTTTCTTAAATGCTTTACCAAACTTTTGGGGTTCTACCTTGATTACAACATGTCATTTGAGAAGCAAATAAACCATTGTTGCAAGTTATGTTATCTAGAATTGCGTAAATTATATTCCATTCGACGTTTTCTGACTTTAGACCAAAGAAAAATGTTTGTTATTAGCTTTATTCTGTCAAGGCTTGACTATTGCAATGCGTTATATATGAAAGTGAATAAAATTTTACTTATTAAACTACAGAAATTTCGAAACGCTGCCGCCAGGTTTGTTTTAGGTGCTACGAGGAGAACAGCATCAACAAACGAGTTACTGAAGAAATTGCACTGGCTTCCACTTTACCAAAGAATTAGGTTCAAAATATGCTGCTTTATGTTTCGCGTGTTTCACAATTGGAACTGTGCCGATTATTTATACAATCTTTTCAAAAAGAATTCTGCTTCTGTCAACCCTTCCCGCAGACAAAAGTTTATCCTTCCGAATTGCAGAAAAGAATTTACCAAAAAGAGCATTGCCTACCAAGGAGCTGTTATTTGGAACTCACTGCCTGTTCTCTTAACAGATATTATTGATTTTACGCTGTTTAAACGAACCCTGAAAACTGTTTTATTCTGTGAGGCTTTGTGAGCCTTCTACCACTCTTGTGTTCAAGAAAGAGTGGTAAAGCCAATCATCATCATCATCAGTGAATTTAAAATCAAATCAAGAGGGGCGGATCTTGGTCGAACTAGTTAAGATAGAGAGTTAGACATATATCTGGACTAGCTTAGTTCAGATTAAAATGTGTAGAAATTTTACTTTAAACTCAGTCGAAGACCCAAAAATTTCAAGCCAGTGTTTCTCGACAATGAGAAATTGTTTTGAAACTTGTTCAAGTATGATTGGAATCATGACTAACTAAAGATGGCTTTAATATAATATAATACTTGACCCATTGCGATGACTGTTTGACGTACCTGATTTTGTGTGGGGAAAATCTATACAAAAACTAACACCTGCCCGAACACAACTTGTTAATGTCCAAGAGAAGTTAATGTTTCAACCACGCAGCGGGCTTAAATGAGGAACATAAAAAGACATTGATGATCTCGAGGTTTATTTTATATTGAAATTCAATAAAGCTGTTAATTGTCTTGAACTGTTTTCCAGTTTCGAGAAAAAGGTAGTAAAATCCTAATTATCTCACTTTTTTTAATCTTCTTATAAAATTGGAACAAATCTTTTGTCTTATATAAGCATTTGTACCAAACAGCTAAATACTTATTGATACAAAGCTTTTAGAATTTAAACTCACCTTCATTTTTGGAACGCAAAAAGTTTAATTAAATTTAATTTGTTCAAAAAAAATACAAGTCGATCTAATTAACAATCTCTTTCCACTACTTGTTTATTAAAGAATCTCCAGCCGTTAAATTAAATCAGTATTTTTCTTCGTAAATTTGGAACAAGTCAGTTTTTGTTCATAGAACCTCATTCATATTTGATGAATGAAACAATGTTGCAATTTGGAGCTTCCTAGTGTGTATAATTCTCATCGTAAAGGTACTGATTGATGGAAAACGTGGGGAGACGTTTAAAAGTACCGAAGTACAAGAAAATGTAAAACAGTGTTCAACAGTGCCAAAAATCATCATTTTTTGGCACTGTTGAACACTTATTCAATTCCCGCACTGTTGTACTTCGCCACTAATGGGCTGCCTCAAAACGAGGAAACAATTAGAAATGAGGAAACCGTAAAAAAATCCTTTTCGCTCAACGCTTTGTTCAAAAAACCAACCAAAAACAAAATAAACAGTATGTTATATAGATCAGCTCGATGTGCACTAGCGGTGAGTGTCATTTGCGTATATTTGCGCTCCACGGCTTTACTTGCTGAATATTTTCATCAGTCCTTCGTGCTTCGGCTTTGGCAAGCTCAAAACACGAACCACCCCGACTGCTTCATTGGCTTATTTTTCAACCAATGAACATCATATGAGTTCATTATCTTTCTATAGTCAAGCGTATGGTTTTGCTTTTGGCTCAGCTATTTTTTTTATCCAAAACAGTTGCATAAGTCCCAAATTTTTTCAATTGGTTCAAGAGTAGTTTAGCTGAACCTCGGTGGCGATAAATTTCGTTCAGAGTGCTTCCCTTTGTTCATTTGTTTGCAGGCTCGCCACTGCGGCGTTCAATATTCTGCAGCTTGAGTTAATGCTGCTTGAAGAGTAAACAATCAATCCATAAAGTCGTTGGCTCAAATTCTGCAGCTTCGTTGGGTCAATATTCTGCAGCTTGAGTTTATGCTGCTTGAACAGTAAGCAATCAATCCATAAATTCGTTGGTTCAACCAATCAAAATTCAAGAAGTTAAATTTTGGGACATATGCTACTGTTTTTTTGGGTGCTATGAATTATCTACCCAAATAGAAGATCTCCCCTTCTTTATTAAAGAATATTTGTTAGGTAAACTAGAACTATTTTTTTGTTTTAGTTATGTGCAGCTGATCTAAGTTATGAAAAATTTTGAGTATTTCTTTTGCAAAAAAAAAACAAATTTCAAAAATTTTTGCTTTCCAAAATGGCGCTAAAAAATTAAGCCTCTTATAAACCTGCATACTCCGTTTTGGCTCGCAATTAGCTAAACGTCAAACACTTCAAACTGGTTTTTCTTGACACTGAAAAAAATTTTCGGATTTGTTGAAATGACGTTCAAATCAGGACTGAAAGGTTTTTTTTATATGACATATCATTCAAATCGTTTCGAGAACAATTTGTGTTACCTGATTTTGCATGAAAAGAAAATTAGAATATACCCGAATACAAAGTTCCTCCCATTTTCAATGGTTGGAATAAAAACGCGGTTCGAAATCTAGGCTTGAGTCATTTCGTAATTACGGTTCAAAATAGTACTCTAGTTAATGAAACTCCTAGTTTGCTTTCAATTTTTTTGTAGGTAATCAATTTGATGATTCGTTAATAATTGTTTGGTTTTGTCGGCGTTCCTTTGTTTGGAAACAAAACCTTTAAACAACTGGGAAAAATTAATGAACTCAGATCAACAAAAAAAATGTTTCAGTGTGTTTATTGTTTATCGAGCTTCTTAGCAAAATGAAAAGTTGAAGCTCTTCGGAATGACTTGATTCGTTTTTCGAGTTTCCCGTAATAATAAGCGATGAAAAACTGCTCACCCAATCTTATATTTTTTCAGATTTTGGACAACTCCGTGCTATTTCATTGCTGAGTTAATTAGCGAGTATTTATCGAAGAACTTTGATAAATTAGCGATAATTTATCATTGATTTGGCTTTTTTATATTAAAAAACTGCGCTAAATTAGCGATAAAATTTAGCTTTAGTGGACGGAAAGCTTTCAAATGATACGATTTGATAGTAGCAGGAACAACAGGTAAGGTAGCTTTGAGGAAATACATGCCAAACAAGAAATAATTTTTAATTTTTTCTGGTATTGAGTATAATAGATTCCCCACTGTCTGTAGAACTTGAAAAAAGTGTTTTTGAAACTTATTCTTTGCTTCCTATGTCTTTATTTTGAGCCACCTTACCTGCAGTTTCATTTGTATTGAAATAATTTTTTCGGAGAAGTCCGAGTAAAAAAGTGAGAATGTGAAGAAGTATAATTAACGGAGAACCCAACTGAAAATTAAGGTGGAAACCTACAGGGAGCCGCCTCTTCATCGCCCATAGGGCCGCCTCATACAGTATTTCAAAATTGTGATAATCACTTTCTTTGTGGCAGGTAAATTTCTTAAAATAGGCCAAAAAGCTGTTTTCGGGCACTATTTGGAAAATACCAAAAAGGAGGTTCCTATGGGTGCTGAAGAGGTCGAAGTCATAAAGAAAAAATGCGTTCACCCCTCCCACTCCGCCTCCAAATATTCCCGTGCAAGGAGGATTGAAATTTTAGGCTTCTGAATTTTCCTAGTGCTTCTGAAGTGTATTTGTTTAGTACCCACTTTTAAGTCGACTGTCATTCCACTTGCATCGCACGTAAATTTCATTAGTGATAGACATGCCTTTACTGCTCACAGGGCCGAAAGACACAATGTGAAAACCCGCTCCCACTAGGGTGGGTCCAAAAAAGTGGTTGGGTCGAATCGACTTCTGGTAATCCGTGGGCAATAATGGCAGAAATGGAGTGGAAGTTGAAGAAGAGTGCGGACCACTGTAAATAGTTGAAACATCAGGGAGGAGTAAAAACA